GAGAGAGAGAGAGAAACAGAGAAAGAAAGATGTATTAAGAGCGCGTAAACCGTGCCTAAACTCTCGAAAGTTCCGCGTGTGTTCGCTCGCTCGCGTATGTAATTTCGCCGCGCCGCGGCCGGTTGTCGATCAAGCGCTTTCGTAAGAAACACCTGCGAGTCATTATCTCTCGCCTACCTTGGCTTTCCCCCGGCGATTTGATTCGCGAAAAGAAAAACTACTCCGCTCGCTGCTCTAAGAAGCGATGAATGAATTGCTTATCGTCATTTATCGGCGGATCTTGAAGAGGTCGCGATGGCCGCGACGGAATTTTTTTTACAGATCCGCGCCGTTCGATCGAATGGAAAAAAAAACAGCTTTTTCTAATTCTTTTTTTTTTCCGGTCGGCTGGTGCATCCCGCGGATATTAGGCGGGTTCGTAGTAGATCAGTTCCCGCGTCGCGCTACACGCTCGTAAAAGTCGGCGAAATTTATGATGTTCGATCATCGCGGCCGTAGGAGCGCATGAAGTAATTATGGAGATGTAACAGATTCCGTCGCGAATAAATTTGCATATCTTGCGATCCGTGCAATCTGATCGCGCCGTCGGCACGAATCTGATCGGGGGAGGGGAAGGAAGGGGCGGAGGGATCTTGATGTCTACGATACCGAGCATCATTCTCGAAACGAGTCTCGAAGTGCTAAACGCAAACCCGATGCGGGCCTCGCTCCGGGCGCCGACTTTAATCGGCGCGCCGTTCGCCGTTCGCCGTTGTGCCGTTGAGTCCCCGAGTAAACCCGGCTCTGCAAAGACTGGAAATAGCGACGGAAACGGAGTTTCTTGCAGTTTATACCAGATATTTTTAACGCCTCGACACATCGTCGACAAAGTACACCCACAAATAGACCAGCCTCTGTTTGCCAGCCGCTGTTCATTCGTGCCGGTAAATTGCAACTTTGCGCGACGAGAAGCGAAACATCTTTTGCGAACGTGGACGACTAGAGAGGATGAAACATGAGCGAACGTGCGAGATTTTACATAGAGGTCGAAAAGATTTACTCGCCGATTTCATTCAATCATGTTTCTGTTAATTCATAATTATCTTTCACTTATTATTTTTTTATCCTTTAGAACAGATCAGCAAGTTAGATTTAATTAAAGAGGAATAATTGGTCCACCTTTGTGACTTTTTAAATTAAATTTGGAGCGTGAAAATGTAGCGTACATGTTGCATCGATTTATCTTTGAAAGTGAAAAAAGGCGACAAAAGTTCTTGCTCGATTTCGATGACGATTTCGACTCCTCCCGCGAAAACAGACTTATTCTTTATATCTACCTTTCACCGGCGTCACTTTGTGTTTCAGTGGTTTATTGCGACTATACTGCCTCGGGAAGGTCGCTACAATTCCTCGAAGATTACATCGCGAAGGAGGTGCTGCCATGTTTGGGCGACACTCGGGCATCTACGTCCATCTGCAGTCTGCAGTCCTCTCTCTTTAGGTAAGCAATAATGGACTCGACACAATCCTCGTCCTTCGAAAAAAATAAATGTTGCTTCGCAATTCACGCGGAGTGGATTTCCATTTTCGTCGAAATCGTTTATACGAATCATATCGAAATCCATTATGACGAAATTTTATTTCGTTTATTTACTCTTCGGCTTGCTCTTTCTATTTCTGTTTTTATTCAGTGTTGTGTTATAAATAAAAATTTTTGTTTACCTCAGTTTCTCTCAGTTTTTAATTTATATTCTACACGTCCGTTATTTTATATTATTTTTTTGTTGTAATTATTTTGTTAACGTAATCTAATTTCCCTCTCTTCTCAGTCGATTGCCCGCGCGAAAGGATTTCATTCTGAAGACTAATAAAATATCCCCGTTCGCTCTCACTTCCTCCATTCACTCGCTCACTTATTCAAGCCATAAATTAATCTTATTCATATTTCATTCCAGTGTAACTGGGTCACCGCGGTATTATCGGACGAATTTTCAGACATGTTCCGCGCTCGTCCGTTTATTTTTGTATGCAAATAACGTTAGGCGCGGCACTCGCGTTCCGTCGTATCTCAAGACGAGACGACGTCGCTGCAATTAAATCGAGTTATCGCCCGCCGCAATTTCTAATCCGACACTCCCGTCCGATAAGACGCGATTCCGCCGCGAGTTACGGCGAGTCGCGACGACGATTTTGCTTACGTCTGTCGTTTTGCTGTCGGCATATCGTCGAATAGACACTTACATCGCGTCCCGAGACTTTCTCGACCGCGCATTAAAAAGAAAGGAACGATTGTGACGAAGCATCGTCCGTTATTATTATCAGCAGCTTTCGTTCGCGACTCGAAGAAAAAACGTGAACTGGATCGTTTTAAATCTCGGGTGGCGGCGACGGCGACACTCGCACGGTCCCGTTTTTGATTCCCTCGTTTACTGGCGCTGATGTCCCAGATCAATATCCACCCCTTCCTTCCCTCCCCCGGTGGCAGCGGTGGCGGTTTATCCGGTGGAGACCGCGATAATGATGAGGACACGCACGACGGGGCTCATTACGCGACAAACGACACATTCAGAGGCGTGTGTACACATATTTGAGATAAATTACTGCGACTTGCAATTTCAATCTTCCTTTGTCTCATGATTACGTTGTTCTCATCTCAACCGAAGAACGGTGCTGTTTTCGCTGCTGAAACGTGCGTTGTTTTTCTTTCGTCCTTTATCAAATATATGTATGTACGATGAAATGGAATCAATTT